ACATAAAATAAAAATAATAAAATATTTTTTATAAAAAGAATATTAGCAGCTAATACTAAAACTAAACTTGTTTGCCTTTATAGAAATCAACTGAACTACCTCACATCTATATACTACTAGATATGAAAATAAGTTCCTGCTAGGGGCTGGGGTGTAGCTTAATGGCAGAGTAAGGCTGCGACCAGAGCATGTAGAAGACCCTGGGTTCAAGTGGGAAGAAGAAAGGAAGGGAAGTAAGGGGGACAGGTAACAACTCAGAGCAGTAAAATGCTTCCAATGACTACTGCGTTACCTAATCCCTATACTTTTCAGATTTACATACACATAAAATCACACAAGCATCTCTCCCATCTCAAAGTATAAGATACTTTCACCTTTTGAAGTAAAACACAGAACACTGGAAAATAAAATTAAAACTTTTACAAATTCAAAATAATATGAGAACAACCAGAATTCACAGGAAATTTTCTAATACATGCCTAAGTATAGAAATGCAAAGCTAAAGGAGTGCCAGTAAGTTATCATTTTCTAAGACTTTTAGAATAATGTCACAGGAACAATTTCAGAAATAAAATATATCATGTGCTCCACTCTAGGTAATGTTAAAATGACACATATATAGGTCAGAGCTGTCTACAGACAATAAACTGTCACAACACAGAATAATGAGCTGGGGATGCAGCTCAACTGGCAGAATGTTTACCCAGCTTGCACAAAGCCCTGGGTTCCATCCCCAGCACCAAATAAACCAAGCCCGGTAGTGCAGACTGTAATCCTACTGCTAGGGAGGTGGAGGCAGGAGGGTCAGAAGTTCAAGGTCATCCTCTGCTACATAGTGAGTTCATGGCCACCCTCAGATATATAACTTTGTCTCAAAAAAAAAAAAAAAAAAATCACCTAGGCATGGTGATGGTGGTACAGGCCTTTAATCCCAGCACCTGAAAGGCAGAGGCAGGCATTCCTCTGTGAGATCAAGGCCAGCCTTGTCTACTTAGCAAATTCTAGGCCAGCTGGGGCTATAGGGACCTTGTCTCAAGGAAAAAAAAAAACTTATTTTCAGCTAAGATGTAGCTGGTACCTGTTCAGATAATACAGTACTACATGAAAAATTCTACTCAACCAAATATTCATGATTTTTTTTGCAATATAGGCAACAATATGTTAAATTAATTATAAATACAGATAGTACTAAAGTACGTTTATATTGGGACGCAGAAATTCAACAGAGATGCTAAGCAACTTCAATCTACATAAATAGATTCTATAAAACAGTTTAATGTAATTCTGGCTTAAGCTGTCAATTTTACCAAAAATTAAAAAGTAAGGAAATTCTCATTTTATTTAGTTTTAGGACAAAAGGAACAATACTAGTAGCCATCTTCAGTCACATTCCGAGAGGAGGGCTAAACATTACCTAAATAGTATCAAAGTGAAAATACACAGTGCTGAGTCGGAGGCAGGAAGATGGCAAGCTCCAGGTTAGCCTGGGCTCCATGGACCCTGTATCCAAAAGTAAACCAGGGCTGGTAATATACCTCAGTGGCAGAGCACTTGCCTAGCATTTGCAATCCCCCAGCACTGCCAAAAACAACAACAAAATCCACAGCAGCAGCCAGTCATGGGGGTGCACAGGTCAAGTGGATCTTGGTGAACTGAGGCCAGCCTGGTCTACACAGCAAATTCCAGGCCAATCAGGGTTATATCCATAGTAAGACCCTGTCATTAAGGGGGAGTTTGCAAAACAAAATAAAAAAGCATCACTCCAAAGTTGTCATCACTTAGCAATCTGAGAAACTTTAATTGCAGCTCCAAGTTGTTTGTTACCTGTCCCTATGACTCACGAAGAAAAGCCCTCCCAAGACTGCTAGATTTCTGACAATGTAGAGACCACAACTGGGGCACACTGTATGGGAACTGTCATGACACTGAATGAATAAAAGCTGGAAAGAACTCAGAACAGAACTGTTAAGATGTTTTCATAAGCCAGGGGTGGTGGTGCAAACCTGGAATTTCAGCGCTCAGGAAGGTGAGGCTGGAGAATGGCAGGCTACACAGTGAGACAATAAATCAATCACAGAATGACAAGAAACGTTGAAGAAAGTACTCTCAGATCTGAGAAACTTTCCCTGATGCCCCTAGTTGGATTTAGTGTACTTATTGTAGTATAATACAGAAAGCACAGTGGTTTTTTTTGTCTAGCTTTCTGACCAGGCTCTAAGCAACTTCAGATAAAAAGCTGCCCTATCTTAGAATCATCAGGACTTCCTTCCCTCAATGCCCAGCACACAGAGAGCCCTTCAACAGATGCTTGTCAAAAAGAAACAATCATTATTTTCCTTTAAAATGTTTTTAAATATATTTTTATTTTATGTGTATGAGTGCTTTACCTACATATATGTTAAGTGCACCACAAGCGTGCAATGTCTGTGGAGGCCAGTTCCCCTTGAAACTGGAGTTATAGTTGTTAGCTGCCACGTGGGTGCTGGGAACCAAATCTGGGTCCTCTGCATAAGAAGCCAGTGCTCTTAAAAGCTGAGCATCTCTCCAGCCTCTTATATTTCCTTTTTGTTTCATTAACTAATTTTTGAGACGGGGTCTCACAGTGTACCCTTGGCTAGCCTAGAACTTGCTATGCAGAGCAGGCTGGCTTAGAACTCAGAGATTAACCAACCCCTGCCCCCTTCTGCCTCTTGAGTGCTGGGATTCAAGGTTGTACCACCGACACACTCCCAGGTACTTTACACTCTTTAAACACATTCACAAACATGACGGCTTTTTATCCACAAACTGATCTTATGAAATGGGAATACCATTATTGAATCAAACAGCTTTGTGTTTCAAAGAGTTGTTAATTCACTAACTAAAACACTCTGAAAACACAAAGATAATCATCAGGTATTTTTCATCTTTAAAATACTTCTCTGGAGACCAATATGCTCATAGGTCAATTTTGCTAACCTTCCACTGCCTGCTCTTTACAATAGGTAGCGGTAATGCTGCTGATTCTTCCTGAAGGGCTTAAACTACACCAAACGATATTCAATACAGCCCGTCTAGAAATGTTTTTTTTTTTTTTTTTTGGTCTTTTTAAGACAGGGTCTCCCTGTAGCCCCAGCTGGCCTGGAAATCACTATGTAGCACAGGCTGGCCTCAAACTAAAAGAGATCCACCTGCCTCTGCCTCCCTAGTGCTGGGATTAAAGGTGTGTGCCACCACGCCCAGCAGAAATGGACTTTAAGAAGCACTGGACACTGTTTTTCCATGTCTTTTCCTTTTTGTGCCTGAGAGGGGGTCAGGAATAAAAGCCGAAATGCTGAACAATAAATGATGTCATAAAGTTGCATCAACACCTGATGATGATTTAGCACAATGTAACATATGATGCCAAGGAAGCAAGTCAAACCAACCGATGTTTCAGTCCACTGATTTCAGGAGCTTTATTAGCAAATTACTATGCAGAACGGCTCTCCTATTTCCTACTCTCGGTTCAAGTTTACATTTTTTAGCAAAGACACTAAGAAAGTCTAATGTCTACAGAAGACACTAAGAAAAGGAAAAAAATGGTCAAAGAACTACCTAATATTAAACCAAGTAGCTTTCAATTTAACTTAATAGTTGTCACTAAAAGCTTTTTGAAGAGCGTAACACATTCATGGCTCAATGTGGACTGAATGATATATTAAATTGGGTTTATCTAAAGCAAACAGGATATAAACTGATAACATGCGATAGAAAAGCCACTTAACTAGGCACATGAATAAGCTCAAAGTCAGGAAGGTGACACAGACCATCACGGCTGAGTGTAAGAGCTACAGACAGAATTCTAAGTGACGGTATTCCTTCTGCAGTTTCCCTGGTCCCTTTAAATCCATGATGTCATCATTCTGAAGCAGAGCAAAACCCAATTTGTTACAAAAGATATTTGGTTGTGTTCAAGCAAAAGCAATCCCCGAATGACTCCCCACAGCACAATTCCAACAGAAGCCATCCTTCCCCAAGGAAAAGACCGTAATGCATTAAACCATCTTCTCTACCCACAAGAAACTAAACTCAAGTCTCCCAATTATTAGCATCTGAACAAAAAAAAAACTTGTTCAAAAAAAAAAAAATCAATGACAGAACACTTCAATGTTGCTGCCCGTAAGTGAAAACGGGTAAGGTGTCTAGCTCTGCATCTAGAGCCATCGGAATACCACCATAGAGAAGTCCAAACACTCTAACCATTAAGAAATGAAGCTTTTATTTTCCTAATAAAAATCGGGAGATCCAACAGACAAAGCAATCGGTTATTCGGAAGCTGAACTAAAATCCAGAGGTTTCAATCATGAAGTCACTCCACACTGAAGTTACTCTACTGCGACTATCAAGATCTCACCCAATTGTGTTTTTCTTCATTCCCAAATTCGTTCCCACCTTCTCAGCACACACAATTTTCAGCAGGGAGAGCCTTCATCACAACGTGGACTGCTGCTGTCTCCAGCCGGGAGATCCGCAGTTCCCACTTCTAAGCAAGCACTCGGAAAGCTAGGGGTCAGGAAGCGCAGCGCATGGCTTCCGTTTTCTCAGCCAAATCCCCAAATCATCTCTTTGCAGCTGCACCTTCCGAGCCCCTCGCTGCAGCCCACCGACCCCCATTTCCGAGGGGCAGCAGTCTCCGACTCTTCTCGCACGGAGTTAAGGGTTCAGGGGGCGGGGTGAGACTCGAGGACACCCTTAAAGCCACGGTGGCCGCGGCCACACATCCATCCTCTGCAGCCCGGGGTGAAGGAAGGAGAACCTCCCTGCTGGGGACCAGGGACAGGTGGTTCCCACCCATCCCGCGCCTGGCTGCCAGGGGCTCCGCTCCCCGACTCCCCCAAGGGAACCAAGGACAACGATAGCAAGACCCTCCCCAGACCCGCCAGGACCGCAGGCCTCGGGGCCCGCGCGGGGCTCCCCGGGACGTAAAGCGCAGGAGGCGTCGGTCCCGGCCGCGGCCCCCGGGCGCCCAGAGGCCTCACCTGGCCCAGCCCGCTCCACGCTCTCGGCTTCGTTTCTCCGACGACCGCAGTGAGGGAGTCAGAGACAGGGCCAGAGCAGGGCCGCTCTGCCTCAGGCCGGCGCTGGCGGTACTCGGGGAATCCTCACAGCTGGCAGGACCCCGGGCAGCCCAGAGCCGCCATCTTCCTTCACTCAAACACCGCCGCTGCCGCCGGCGCGGCTACCCGGACCCGGAGCAGACAGCGCGGATTGCGCATGCGCCGGGGAAAGCGCAGAGGACGCGCGCGCACTCACGTCAGAGCCGAGGGTCTGCGCGCCGCGGCCGCTGGGCGGCGCCATATTGAAAAGAGCCGAAGGGAGCCGAGTTTCTCGTTCATCCAGGAGCATTCCTGCACTATGTGGGCAACTAGGGCTCTTTTCCTGATGGGTGCAGACTAAAATGGATTTAGCCCGGAGATTAAGTCGTTTGTACTCCTTCCCCCCAGGACCCTTAGCACAGGATGAAAGTGCCCTTGGCTATCGCCAGGGGAGGGAATCTCACTGCTTGGGTGGACAGCAAAGTGAATTGTAAATAGCACCGTTTTTTGTTCTTTTTTTTTGAGACAGGGTTTCACTACATAGCACGGGCTGCCCTAAAACTAACTTTCTATGTAGACCAGGCTGGCTTCGAACTCACAGAGATTCCTCCTGCCTCTACCTTCTGAGTGCTAGGGTTCACGGCATGTACTTGGTACTTTTTTTTTTTTTTGGTCTTTTTGAGACAGGGTCTCCCTGTAGCCCCAGCTGTCCTGGAACTCACTATGTAGACCAGACTGGCCTTGAACTCACAGAGATCCGCCTGCCTCTGCCTCCCGAGTGCTGGGATTAAAGGCGTGCACTACCACGCCGGGCCATGGTAGCTTCTAAAATGAGGAAATCTGGGGTACAAAAGCCACCCGTGGGGGCTGGAGAGATGGCTCAGTGGTAAAGGGCACTGGCTACTTTTGTAGAAGACCCTGGTTCAAATCCCAGCACTGGAGCTGGGCGTGTTGGCCCACGCTTTTAGTCCCAGCACTTGGGAGGCAAAGGCAGGAGGATCTCTGTGACTTCAAGGCCAGCCTGGTCTACATAGTGAATCCAGGCCAGCTGTGAGTACAGAGCGGGCCTGTCTCAAAAAGACCAAAAAAAAATCAAATCCCAGGACCCACGAGGCAGCTAACAACAGTCTGTAACTCCAATTCCAGAGGATCCTAAGCCCTCTTCTGTCCTCCACCGGCATGCAGGACACAGGTGCACTTACATGAAGGCAATACACTCATTTAAAAAAAATGTTTAAAAAAAGAAAGCTGTGTGTAGGCGAGACCTTCAAGAATTCATCCCTACAGGTGTAGTTTAAGGAAATGCCAGTGACAGTGCTCAAGGGCTTCACCCCCTTGTGCACTGGAGCAACTTGAGATTCCAAACAAATTGTCAGGGGATAAAGTAGACTTCCTGGGCTAACTTGGGACATAGAACTGGGTCAGAAGCCAAGTTCCACAAGGCTTGGTGGTGCTCCTTTAGTTCCAACCATGCAGGAGACAGGGACAAGGATTACTCAAACGCTTGAGTTGAAAACTAGTTCATGTCTTTAATCTCAGCACTCAGGAGGCAGAGGCATTTTGAGGCCAGCCTAGTCAGCATAATGAGGGGTAGTCTCAAAAAAAAGAAAGAAAAAAAAAAGAGAAGGGGGTGGAGAGATGGCTCAGTGGTTAAGAACACTGTTCTTGCAGAAGACCTGGGTTTGAATACCAGCACCCACATGGCAGATAACAACTATCTGTAACTCCAGTTCCAGGGGATCCGACAGCCTCTCTGTCCTTGGAGGGCATTGCACAACACAGGTGCACGTACATACATGCAGGCAATACATGCATACACATAAAAATAAAAAAAAATTTGAAATAAATTTAAAAAAGGAAAATGCAGCCAGGTGTGGTGGTGCACCCCTTTAATTCCAGCACTTGGGAGGCAGGGGCAGGTGGATCTCTGAGTTCAAGGCCAGCCTGGTCTACATAGTGAGTTCCAAGCCAGCTGGGGTCACATAGTGAGACCCTATCTCAATTTTTTTTTTTAAAAAAAAAAGGGAAAAACGCCAACAAGAATCAAACACATTAATTAGCTAGACAGCTGCTCCTGCATGGAATCTCAGGCTAAGCAGAATGGACAGAAGTTGAGGATAACCAGGGCTGGAAAGTAAAGCTGTGTCTCAAAACAACCTCTGCTTGGAGAATATGGTAACACACCCTCTTCTGACCTCTGTGGGCACTGCATGACACAGGTACACTTAAACATATGTAGGCAATACACTCATACACATAAAAATAATAAAATTTAAATATATAAAATAGTTTTAAAAGGGGGACAAAAATGAAAGGCAGAAATTTAAACCTCTAAGATGGCTCAAGGGGTAAGGGCACTTACCACCAAACCTGATTACCTGACTTTGATCAACAGGATACTGTGGAGGGAGAGAACTCCTGCAGATTATCCTCTGACCTCTACACAACAGCATGGCACACACACATACACAGACAAATGCACATACACACTAAAATAAATCTAATTTCAAAAAATGTTTTAAAACCCCAAGCCTAGGGGCTGGAGAGATGGCTCAGCAGTTAAAAGCACTAGCTGCTCTTGCAGAGGACCCAGGTTCACCAAAGCATGACTTTTTTTTCTATTTGTTTACTTGGAGGGGGTTGATAGAATGCTGTAACCCAGGGTAGCCTACAACTCACTATGTAGCCTAAGCTGGCTTTGAACTTGCAAATGATCCTCCTGCCTCCCAAGTGCTAGGATTACAGGCATGAACCAGTATGCCTGGCCCTGACGTGTGTGTGTGTGTGTGTGTGTGTGTGTGTGTGTGTGTGTGTGCATTGATTTACATGGGAGAGATTGTACACACTAAGGCCGACGGCATGTGTGTGGAGGTTAAAGGACAACCTTCAGGAGCTGACTCTCTCCTTCTACCATGTGGATTGTCCAGGAAATCAAACCCAGGTCATCAGGTTTGGCAGCAAGTGCTTTTACCTGATAAACATCCCACCAGCCTGTGACATAAAACTAATAAGGTCCTTGACCAACAAAAGTTGCTTGCAAGAAAGATAGGCAATAAATAAGTATATGTGAATATAAATAAGTATATTTTAATATAAACTGTGATAAGCAAATAAAAGTTATTAAAGCAAATTCTTTAATTCTAATCACAGTTCATGTTTGCTGATACTTTAAAAAAAATTTGGGGGGGATGGAGAGATAGGTCAGTGGTTAAGAGCATTGACTGCTCTTGCAGAGGACCCAGGGTCAATTCCTAGCACTTACATGGTAGCTACGAACCATCCTTAACTCCAGTTCCAGGGGAATCCGAAGCCCTCTTCTGACCTCCATGGCATTGCATGACACGGATGCATGCACTCACATACATGCAGGCAATACACTTATAAACATAAAATAAAAATAATAAATAAAATTTTTTTTTTTGAGACAGAGTCTCCCTGTAGCCCCAGCTGACCTGGAACTCACTAAATAGACCAGGCTGGCCTTGAACTCATAGCAATCCACCTGCCTCTGCCTCCCAAGTGCTGGGACTAAAGGTGTGTGCCACCACACCCAGCCTAAATAAAATATTTTTTGTTTTTTGATTTTTTTTGTCTTTTTGAGACAGGGTCTCCTTGTAGCCTCAGCCGTCTTGGAACTCACTATGTAAACCAGGCTGGCCTTGAACGCACAAAGATCCGCCTGCCTCTGCCTCCCAAGTGCTGGGATTAAAGGCATGCGCCACCATGCCCAGCCTAAATAAAATTTTCTTTTTTTAATTTTTGGTCTTTTTGAGACAGGGTCTCCCTGTAGCCCCAGCTAGCCTGGAACTCACCATGTAGACCAGGCTGGCCCCTAACTCACAAAGATCTGCCTGCCTCTGCCTCTCTAGTGCTGGGATTAAAGGTATGCATCACCACACCCGGCACTTTTTTACAAATTTCATATGTGTTTGTATGTGCATGCATGCTTATAAGGTCAGAGGACAACCTCGAGGGTCCATCCTTAGGCTTTCCTTACTGTTCACTGTTGTGTTCGCTGACCCATGAGCTTCCATGGATTCTTCTGTCTCGGCCTCCCATCTCACTGTACCTGCATTACAATTACAGACACACATGCTACCATGCCAAGCTTTCCATAGGTTCTGGGGATTCACACTCAGGCCCTGGTGCTTGCAGTGCAAGCACCTTACCTACAGAGCCATGTCCCCACCTACTCATACTCTAATTAGGTGTCAAATACTGCTAAGTAGGTGCCATTATTATGCTCATTGTACAGATGGGGAAACTGGGGCTTCTAGAGATTAAGTAGCTGACCCATGACCACAGGCAGGTGGTCTGGTCACTTCAAGGCCTATGCTCTGAAATCTAAGGAGTTCTTTGACAAACAGGAGGATAAGCCCAGTTATATAAGGCCTGCACCATCTGGAGGAAGATTGGCTATTACCTCTAAGGTTATGGGGACTGAGGGACAGAGAGCAAGTACTGTGAAAATGGAGTGTCCGAACAGTCTCTTAGCCATGTGAAGGCTGGGGACAGATGATGGGGACATGACAGAAGACAAGAACTGACGCTAGGAAGGAAGATGTGGCTAGGGCCTTTCAGTAAGTTAAAACACGATGTTTTCCTCAGAGTTCATCCCAATACTCAATTACAGAAGTGAATTTTATGTTTTGGGTTTTTTTTTTTTTTCGACCTTTTAAAGACAGGGTCTCCCTGTAGCCCCAGCTGTCCTGGAACTCACTATGTAGACCAGGCTGGCCTTGAACTCACAGAGATCCGCCTGCCTCTGCCTCCCGAATGCTGGGATTAAAGGCATGCACCACCATGCCCAGCTGCATTTTGTTTTTACTTACTTAGGATGGTTAATATATGCATATGGTGCTATGTCCAAAATTACAAAAGGAAATATAATAAAACTTAAGTTAGAGTTGAGGGCATGGCTCAGTGGTCCCCGAGTGTGCAAAAAAAAAAAAAAAAAAAGGGTTTTAATGAAGGCTAGGGGCTGGAGAGATAGCTCAACAGTTAGGAACACTAGCTGCTCTTGCAGAAGACCTGGATTTGAATCCCAGCACCCACACAGTGGCTAACAATCGTCCATAACTCCAATTCCAGAGGATCTCTGTGGGTATTGCATGACAGAGTGCAATTGCGTACATGCAGGCAATACACTCATACACAT